TGGTTTGCACGGTTTACACAAATGAGGGCGGTTTTTATTTGATCACTCCTCTCTCTCTCTCTCTCTCTCTCTATATATATATATATATATATATAGGGTTTAGTTCACGCGAAATCAAAGGTTTTTCATGAGACTCGTAAGATCAATTTTGTGATTATTGAGAAGTCTCGTGGCAATTTTGCGATTATGAATGTTTAGATTGTAGATCTAATCCAAGGGTTAGGAATTGGCCTTACGGGTCTCACGAAAAACTTTTGGTCTCACATGATTCTATGTATATATATATATATATATATAGAGAGAGAGAGAGAGAGAGAGAGAGAGAGTGTGTGTGTGTGTGTTTGTTTCAAATGCAAACCATTACATTTGTACAACCAATGCAACCTAATAAATTGAAATATTTATGAAAATGATGAAAGTTCATTTAGTATGATTTAAATATTTATGTAAGATGAATAAGGATCATTAATTATGATCAATACTTTATATTAGGAAACAATCAAAACTTCTATGAAATTACATATTCATCAAATTAAATGGACGGTTGAGATTGAGTTGTATTGGTTGTACAAATGTAAAGAATTGTATAATAACACCTCTCTCTCTCTCTCTCTCTCTCTCTATATATATATATATATACACACACACACACTCTATAAGGTACTCGTGCAATAAAACGAGATAAATCTCAATTTTAATGTTTCGTTTTATTTTTTATCTTTATCGATATAATACAATTTTATATGATTTTGAGAAAGCGGTAATGTTTTTATTTTTAAATGAAATATAAATTTAAAGATAACATAAATTTTTGAAAAATAAATAAATCGATATTAGTATCAAATTAACTATTCAGTAGTTTTCGTTTTTTTATGTAACCTCTTTAATTAAATTTTTTATTATAATTAATTTTATATTTAATAACAAAGTAATTTATTTTTGGTTTAATAATACAATCTTTTATAAAGATAATATTAAAACATTTTGTTAGAACTCAATGATTATCTTAATTATATTTCTAGATTTTTTATATTTAAAATGAATATTTATCCCGTATTTGATATGTTTATATGCAGCTAGTTATACGAATTTAAAAATGGAGCTTTAATAAGTTGTACTTATGTAAAATTACTTGTAATCTTGAATTTTAAGTAATATGCATCAATATACAGTATTTCATGCATAAAAAACGATTTTTAAGAGTTTTTGTAAAAATACTTTATAATATATATATAGTATATACATATACAAATTTTGCTTGATAAATATAATAAATAAAAAATAAGAATCGGGGCCAAAATGAAATTAAGAATTGCCCGGCTAGGTTACAACAATATGATCACGAAAATACTTTTCAACCTCGATCGTATGTTGACACAAGATGGATTATTTGGTCAATCATATTGAACTATTACTAATTCGTAACGTTCAAATTATATAGAAACTAGTCAAACTACAATTACAGCATTTGAGATACAAAAAAACTTGTTGATCAACAACACGTAACTTGATAATCTAAAATCTTATTGTCAAAGGTTATTTAATTTCGTACCACGTGTAAGAAGGTTGGATTAATTATTTATGAGAAACCAACGAGGATTGATCTCTCTCTCTCTCTCTCTATATATATATATATAGACAGCTCTCATATTTATATCTTCATATCCAATCATGGCATCTACGTTATGGCTGATCTTATTACTCACCCTCACATGTCCTCTAGCAGCTGAACCCATTGATCTTAAGGCATTTCTTATTCTTTTCTCTTTATTACTATGCATCTTCTAAAACATAATATATAATATAATGAGACTCTTTTAATCATTTTCTTTATTACTTGTCATAGTTTATATATATATATATAGGTTTTTTTTTTCAGATAAAAATTTATTTGTGTTATGAATTAATTTACAGACATACATCGTGTACATGGGTGACCTTCCGAAGAGTGATTTATCCGTGGCATCACTTCACCGTAACATACTAGAAGATGTTGTTGGCAGGTTTATTACCATTTGTTTTTTAATGATTTATGGTATCACTTATTTGTGATTACATATATGATTCATATATTTTGAGCAGCCGAGCTTCAAAATCTTTACTACGGAGCTACCAGAGAAGCTTTAATGGCTTCGTGGCCAAGCTCTCAGAAGACCAAAAAAACAAAATGGCTCGTGAGTGAACTTGTAATTCTTAATTATATGTTTCTTAAATTTTATAGAATCATGCATGCATTAACGTACGGTAATGGCAGGAATGGAGGGAGTGGTGTCTGTGTTTCAAAGCCAAACAAGGAAACTGCATACAACAAGGTCATGGGACTTCATGGGCTTCCCTCAAGATGTTAAAAGAGCACCCCTTGAAAGCCACGTCATCGTCGGTATGCTAGACACCGGAGTCTGGCCGGAATCCGACAGCTTCAAGGACGATGGATTTGGTCCTCCACCGCCCAAATGGAAAGGCTCATGCGATTCCATCAATTTCACCTGCAACAAGTAAATAAATTCGCTTCATTGGTGATTCGTTTTAATTTTTCTTCATACTATTATGGCGTTATTAACGTGATCACTGCGTATATATTGTCAGCAAACTCATCGGAGCAAAATACTACAAGACCGAGGAGAGTGCAGTCGGAGACGAGGAGCTGTCAGCAAGAGACACCGATGGCCATGGCACGCACACGGCATCCACCGTGGCCGGACGTGCAGTGAACAACGCCAACTTGTTAGGTCTAGCTAACGGGACTGCTCGAGGGGGTGTTCCGTCAGCACGTATAGCCGTCTATAAGATCTGTTGGGAGACTTGTTCAGATGCTGATATCCTGGCGGCCTTCGACGATGCAATTGCTGATGGAGTCGATATCATTTCTATTTCAGTTGGAAGTTCCAACCCTTTCGATTACTTTGAAGATACTATCGCCATTGGAGCTTTTCATTCCATGAAGAATGGGATTCTAACTTCAAATTCCGCCGGAAACGACGGACCTAGTCCTGGATCGATTACTAATTTCTCACCATGGTCGTTATCGGTTGCCGCTAGCAGCATTGATCGGAAGTTTCTAACTCAGATTGTGTTGGGTAACAATATCACTTACGAGGTAAGAAATTATTCTTCAATTTTGAGCTATCGATCGTAAACGGATATGGTGATTCTTATTGATTCTTGTGTAGGGGCCGACAATAAACACATTCGAGGGTGCGATTCATCCGATAGTTTATGGCGGATCAGTGCCTAATACCAAAAAGGGGTTTACATCAGATGAATCTAGGTAATCAATCAATCTCTTTAAAATCAACCACTTTGAGGGACCGAAATTGCACCGAAAGTTTAATGATTGAAGTTAAAACCAACGATTGAATTCAGATACTGTGAAGAAGATTCGTTGGATCCGACTTCGGTTCAAAATAAGATTGTGGTTTGTGAAGATTTTGATGGACCGACGAATGCTTTGGAATCTGGTGCAAGTGGAGTGGTGGTGGAAGGTGATTTTGGGTACCTAGATTCGGCCTTTGCTTACCCTCTTCCAACAACATATTTAAGCTCCAAAGATGGCAGTGCCGTTCTTGGATACATAAACTCCACCACGTAAGTCTATCCTGCTTGCTTTGTACCGTATATTCATCAATGAATAATGTAGAAGCGTGGAATTCACATGTTAATTCTGAACCATTTCTTTTCTTATAGAACACCAAGTGCAACCATTCTAAAGAGTTATGAACCTGTAGACAAAGCAGCTCCAACTGTGGTTTCCTTCTCATCAAGGGGTCCCAACCCAATCACACCAGATCTCCTCAAGGTAACTAATGAAGTTACCATTTTGTATTTATGGAGAAATGGATGAAGCCCATTCTATTTCTGTTAACATTTGAATCCTGATGTAGCCCGATTTAACCGCACCTGGAGTGGACATTTTAGCCGCTTGGTCGATGGCTACAACCGTCACTGGAGAAGCTGGGGATACCCGTGTTGTCCCATACAATATTATCTCCGGCACTTCCATGTCTTGTCCTCATGCCACTGGCGCTGCAGCTTACGTTAAATCGTTCCACCCAACATGGTCTCCTGCTGCAATCAAGTCAGCGCTTATGACCACAGGTAACACGGTAGAGATATTGCCAGATCGCACAATCTTATGTATGTGATTTTAGGTTGTGAACAACTTGCTTTCTCTGTGGCAGCTGCACCAATGAGTCCAACCAAAAACCTCGAGGCTGAATTTGCATATGGTTCTGGCCATATCGATCCTTTGAAGGGCGTGGACCCAGGTTTGGTTTACGACGCTGGGGAATCAGATTTCGTGTCATTTTTATGTGGGCAAGGTTACAACGCCACAACTTTGAAAATGGTGACTGGTGATTCAAGTAGTTGCTCGGCGGCCAATAACGCGACCGTTTGGGACCTAAACTATCCTTCTTTTGGTCTCTCGGCTCAACAACCAGGCAACATCGTCCGAACCTTTAACAGGACGGTTACTAACGTGGGTGCACCCGATTCTACGTACCATGCCAATGTGGTTGCACCATCAGGGCTGGTGGTGAAGGTTAGGCCGAGGAGTCTTGCGTTCAAAAGAGTGGGAGAGAAGCAATCTTTTGTGGTGATGGTGGATGCTAGAATTGGGTGTAAGATGGTTTCCGGTTCCTTGGTTTGGAGTGACGGAGTACATAACGTGACCAGTCCAATTGTTGCCTTCAGGATTTAATTGTTTTTATATATATATATATATATATATATATATATATATATACACACACACACACAATAGAATTGAATTTTAAAAACATCATTTAAGATAGTTTTCATTTTATCTTGTAATTTGTTTTTTATTGTTTGTATATCAGTTGATGTTTATAGTAGACAACATATCAAATAACATTATTTATTTATTTTTTGAAAATAATTGTTTTGTCTATATTTACCATAACAAATTTTGTTAAATGATATGCACTTCTAGCAATTTTGGGCTAAAAAAATATTGCTTTTGCATAAAATTAAAGCACTAAGTTTGACGCAAAAGATTAATCGTATTTTCAATTTGATAATTGTGTGTGTATACCTCTAATGAAGATGCGGAATCTACCAATTCTCATCACATAGTTGGCAACCCCCCAGGTTCCAGACCCAGGGGTCAACTTTCCCGTATGAGCATTTGGTACATTGGTCGGCAGACGGGTGAGACAGAATGAACGGTCACTACTAACCAAGCCAACCCACATTACTGACTAACGGTGAATAATCAAATTTCTTAGACGTACTAAATACATGCCACTCTACTCAGAGATGCATGCCATAATTTATATCAATTCTAAGTTTGTTTTTAAGATTAATCTTTTAATTTGAATTAAAATAACATAATACAAGTTATTAAGTTTTGACATGTTATTGTCCAAGAAAATGTCCATATACAACAACAGACCTACTAAGAGAGTAGGGGATACACGGTCCTGACTTAATCTTCTCGTCACAATGGAAATTTTTTATAGAGTCTAATTGTGAAGGGTGTTTTTATATTTTTTCTAAACCTAAAATTTAGAATTGTGAGCTAGTTGGAATAGTTGTGGTGTTCCTTTCTTGAGATAACGGGTTTGATTTATGTTTACAGCAAAACTCTATTTTTTTTTTTTGCTTTTTTATATTTCAGTTACTAAGAGAAAAAAGAATAAATATGTAACTGAAAGTATTGAAGTGACGAGTTACTTTATATTTGTAATAACCAAAAAAAATGGAATAAATTGGTAGTCGTTAAATTTCATGTAGTTGTAGTGTAAATGCAATCAAAGTGAAGGGTTTAGACTGTATAATTGAATGCAATTTAATGACAGGAAACTCAATTAATGGTCATGAAACCTACGACCATTAATCTTGGTTTATCGTTTCATATTCCGTGAAACGACCGATAACTTAGTATAAAATTGGAGTATGTAGCTTTATGTGAAGTTTGGGGGTCAAGAAGGAGAACTATTATGAGAAAAGGCGGGTGGACGCTCTAATGATAGTCGATGGTGTTGTACATCACATATAGTTCGACGCCAATCAGGAGACGCTAGCCTCTTCACATAACGGTTTTGACTACGACTTGTACAGTGAGTTACACGTGATTTATTTTTAAAATGGTTGCATGCCTTATTTATAATTATCCACAAGCTTGATTGAAGTTTCTCGAGATTTTTGATATGCTATATATGCGTGAAAAGTTCGATATTTTGCTAATATGTGTTTTGAGTACTTGTGTGTTAATGGGGATGTACTACGGTATAATTTTGTAAAGACGAGCATGCTTTGTGAGCTTGTCTAAGCCGTAAGTGCGGACATGCGGTGTGAGTTCGCCATGTAATGTTGTGTGAGGTAGACATCTTCCATGACGTCGTTGTTTTGTGATGTAGACACGCACGATAATATCTTTATTTTGTGAAAAGTATTATTCTCATCAAGGCATGCTAATTTATGAAGCTTTGTGAAAATTGTTTATCGTAAAAGTTGTTGTTCATGCATGAAAACTGTGGATTCACTGGGTCTAAGGCTCACCCAAAACTCTTTTAAAACTTTTGCACCCAGGCGGATATTTGAGTGGAAAGAAAAGTTGGATAAAGAGAGATACAAGGATTAGCATCAAAGAAGGACATGTGCATATCAAGACATTGTTATATAGAGCAAAGTATGTTCGTCAAGATTGTAATGTTAGATGTTGATATAATTTATAATATTGGAGATTTTATTTCCGCTGCAATGTAAGTGTTTGATCTTAGGATACTAATTTTGTTATATTTAATTATTTGAAATTTTGGGATGTTACAATATTTGTCCCCATCTTACTTTTATTTATTTTTTCTTAATCTTTTTCTTCCAATTTAATAATTATTTTTAAAGTTGTTTTTTGTCTCATTTTAATGACAACATATGTTTATCGAAATTAATTGAAAAAGAAATAAAATTAATCATGTTTAAATTGAAAAAGAAATACTTTGTATGAGTTTTATTTTTAAAAATCTTGATAATATTTAAATATCGGTTATTATTTCAATATATGATGTCGTCAAACATATTTATGGTAAAAAAATTAATAAAAATATATTTTGTTGTTGTATATGTTGTTCATCACGAAATCAACCAAAAAACCTAATAAAAGTCTCCCATAAAAGTGGAATTTAGCTCAAAATAGGCCAACTGTGAGACATACTCTTACATTTTACTCAAAAGCCAAGGTTGATTGTAATTAGAAAAATGTATTGTATCAAATCAGCACAATTGAATTTTCTATGGGTCAAAACATGTTCACTTTTCTTAGGTTAAAACACGAGCCTTTGATTGACCTTAGAGCCTTTTAACAAAGAATAAGAATGAAAAACGTAATTTACTCTTTAGTAAATATATTAAATTACTTAAAAAAAATCATAATTATTGATTAATATAATAATATTAAGAAGACCGATAAATAACAATCTATCTCACTAATGTTTTTAAAAAAT